GAAACAGATTCTTAAAAAGGCCTGTGCACATCTTAAGCTGTCTGCAACAGGAACAAAAACTGGAGTTATGTATCTCTAAAATGTGTATCATACAACAGTGAAATAAAAAACCTTGATGAAATAATAATCAGTGCTTACACTGACAAAAATAAGTTGATGCAAAGCAACTCAGTTTCCCAAGTTCAGTGAAACTGTCACTGCTTACCCTTGGAAGTATCCTACTCACAGCAAGGTTTGCATTTTGGTACAGAAAATGATTGACAATTTTTCTTTCCACCCCATTTGAAAAACAGGAAAATCCTTATAGTAGGTACAGTATGTCAAGTCTCGTGTTTTGATTCCTGTAACATACCATTAGCCTTATTCTTCTGCTTGGCAAGATAAACATTTCGCATTAGCCAAAATGAAAGGTACGACTGACATTTACCAGCACTGATTGGTAAATATTGCTACAGAAAGCTGTCAACCTTCCATAACTGCAAAACAACATGCAATTCAAAAGCATTCCACCTTTCCTGAGACATGCCATCTTAATAAGCAAGCAGTAATGGGATGCAACAAAGACAACTTTCTCATTAAGTGTAGACAAGCACTGCTCACCTGAGGTAGTATAAATGCAAGTACTCCTTGGCAAACATCTGACTGGTCTTGTAGGTGCACACACACATCCATGTGCACCTGTGCATACAATCAGGAGTACAGGGAGAATTATGGTCTATGTAAGACAGGCCCAACTGGATCATAAGGCAGCAAAATTGGCTGCACGTGCTGCTTCATAGCTGGAACTCACTGCTAAATAACGTGGGTTAGCAACACAGAGCCCCTGTCATCCACAATGTCAAAGTGCTGCTGAATCTCACTTCCCTAAAAACCTCTCTGAGACTCAGCTTTAATATGACCTCCCCTCTTCTCCTTTTTTTAATAGGTAGTAAGTTGACCTCACAAAGACAAAAAATACACTTTATGGGGCCAGCAAATGCTGACTGCTCTCCATACAGGACACACATGGCAGCTCTGCTCCCATGCCATGTACTTGCTGCAGCAGACAAGTGCTCAGACATACACCCCAACCCCTTTCACCTGCCTGCCTTTACCGAGAGCATCTCCTTGACACCCAGTCACCTCTACATATCATCTAATCAAAACTGCTACTTCTGGATCTGGATGTCAGTCCTTTCCTAATGCAGAAGTGTAAATTTAAGAGACTTCTGGAAGCATCTTTGGTTTTCTTCTAAGCCAGTGAGGACTTCTCAAAGCGTTGTGTTGGGGTAGGAGGAAGGAAAGGCAGCAGTTCGTGCTCTGGCACATTCCATCACCAGCCAAACTTCTGGGTCACTGATGAAAGCCTCAACTGCCATACTAGGAGACCTGATTCAATGGAATGCCCTTTGAAAAACCACCCTCATTGCCAAGGTACTCTGGCTCCTTACAATCCCAAGTTCACACCTCTGGTCCCCATCTGACTTCTCAGCACTCCTCAGTTCTGAGCAGCTGAGAAAACAGTCCACATCTCTTCCAAAACAACTGTGACAGAGAAACAGAGAACAAAATCAAGTGATTTTGTCTTCCCAGTAAAAACAGTGAAACCACGAAATTGGTATCTTGTGAGGAAACCTCCTGTTTCCCTTTCTTTATCATTCCCCAGCTCCTCCCATACTCATCTTACATCCTTGCCTTTGTGATTACCAGCCTAGAAAATACCACCTGGTTTCAAGCCATTGAATAAAAGCAGCAAACTTTGATTTCTGCGTTTAAGCTCCTAGATCTCTCCAGGATGTGATGGGTCATTACTCTGGCTCAGAGATTGCCTGTTTTTAAATCACTATGCACGACTCCCTGGGCCCTTTCCAAGGTCAGATCTGGTTTCCAGGCCTCTGAGATCTTCCTGCCAGGCACACAGAGCCCTGCAGCTTTGAATCTGCACATTTTTAAGGGGCACTCTGGTTCATTCTAAAAATATCGCAGCATAACTTAGCCACCTGTAAACATCAGATGCTGACTGCTAATTGACAGGTACAATATTTATTGAGGTTACATACCAACAAACAGTCTAGCAGATTTGTTTATACATAGCAATAGCAATGCCAAATGCACAGGAGAGACAGACCAAGATCCGGGAGATGAAAGCAAGCCTGAAGGGGACTGACACATGCATATGAGCCAGTAGCACTGGAATCTCTGGGCAGGTTCATCTGACAAATAGTTTTCGTCTCAGCTCTCATTTTACAGTTCAGCACTGCTGTTATTAGCAGCATGTTGTGACAAAACAAGAGAAAAACACCGAGCTTGTGGGAGAGGAAAGCTAACAACACCCAAGGCACGTGGCTGCCTCAAAAGCACTCCTGGCACAACAACTCCAAGGCCACAAGCTGACCTCTGGGTTCAGCAGAGAAACAGCCAAAGACAAGCAGACTTACTCCAACCTCTTCTCCCCTGCATTCTGGTTGCTTTAACTTCAAATGAACTTCCTAAAGGGAGAAAAAGGGAATTTCCTGGAGCCAAGATTCCAGCTCTGTAATTCTTCCATCTGCATCCTGGGGCCGGGGAGGGGAATGAGAAGAGGGAGAACCAGAGAAGTCCTCCTGCAGCCACGCAGGTGCTGCAACTCTTTCCCAAAGCCTTTCCTCCCACCCGCAGCTGACCTCCAGCCTGCTGCAAGGCATCTCTCAATGACACACAGTGAATATACTGCTCCCCAAAGGTGCTGGGGCTGACAGCTCTGGATATTCCATTAGCCAACGCATGGAGGAGACGTCAAGCACCGCGCAGGCAGCGGGGATGAGCCGGTTTTCCCCATAGAGAAGGTGCCCTGCCAATGCACCCTGTCCCTGTCCGGGAAGAGATAACTCATCCCAAAGCTGTGAAAGGTTTGGCTTGTGCTTTGAAGCCTGGAAGGAGGAAGGCTGCAATTTCTGACACTCCATTCTGGATGCTGTGTTCAAAAAACTCCTGACAGGACTGGATCTCACATGTCTGACCGCCAGGTCATGCTTTGGAAATGCAGCTTTAAGCGACTTTTGAAGCTTCCAAATATCCTCATCCTTTGATTGTCATTATTTTTTAAATTGTTTTGTTTTAACAGAACTCAAATACTTTCAAAAATTTTATTTTCTGTCTCTATTTACCATTCATTAAGAAGCTGAATTAAGCTGAATTAAGCTGCTGATTACCGATAGCAGCTACCACACAGCTGTTAAAGTGATGGGCATCTGTAGGGTCTCCTTGTTTTCAAAAAGCAAAGGCTGTGCAGGGCATGCCATTCAGGCTCAACTACTTACAATTCTCCACGTTCAGATGTTAGGAAAATGTAATTAATACTGACACGTACAGAGGTCATATCTCTGAGCAAAACATTAAGGGGGAAAAAATTAAGAGACAGAGAGAGAGAGAGAGAAGCAATTTTGCTAAATGACTGTGCCTCCCAGCAGGCTCTGTGACAGATACACCACAACAGCACAGATTATAGCTCTTACATTTCCAGTGACTCAACTAAGCGTTCACATTTTAGAAAACCACCTTATATGTGCTTTGCATTAAAAACGCATTTATTGCTCACATTGACACATGTATATTCTGAATTTAATAATACACTTGTTGGACCATGGTGACTCAAAACATCAACGTAATACCAGCAAGAAAAGGCTTTAATCGAGTTTCTTCATACTTGGCGTCGACTTCCTCAAAACATACTCTGGCCATCTTCATTTATAACATTTTTAATTAGACATCTCCAGAACAGATTGCTGAAAATATAAAAACTTCCTTAAGTTTTTGTATGAACTGGAGTCTCCAAAATACTGATGGGCTGGATTTATTTATTTATGGAGTTCTAATGTTTTTCTTTGGAAGGGTTTTACAGACTGCAATTATGAGGCTTTCAAAAATGGTACATAATTTACAAAAATGGTACATACTTCCCCTCCCTGTTGCACCATGAAATCAAATGTGTCTCATTGATGGGAAGAATAGGTTTTCTCAATTACATTTCTTTAAGACCAGCACTTAGAAAAATTGGATTAGTCCCCTCCAATGCTTTTTATGTTAAGTTAGTTTAATCTAACAACCAACATCACTCTGCACTAGTACAGGGGAGTACCAATTCAGAAAAATTGGTTTAAACCAATGCTTTCCCCAGCTGACATTAGGGATGAGATGTCCACTCACACTGCTGCATTGCCACCTTTGAAGTCTTAAAACCAAATGCAGCTGCTGCAGCAAGCCCTGAGCCCAGCACAGCAGCATTCATCTGTTTATGTTATCAGTGCCTATGAAAAAATTGGCAGACAGCTCTTCTGGTGACAGATGCATACTGAAACCTAATCAAGGCTTGGGTTATTTTTCTCCACTCAGCAATGCTGCAATTCTAGCCAGGCAAACCCCAAGATCTCCGTTAGGATGAAGAGAGAAGCAATGAAAGTCCTGCACCCACTGCCATCCCAGACATTAACAAATCATCCATCCCACCAACTTGGAGCAAAACTCACAGCAGCTTCCATGTGGCTCCCAAGCACTTTTCAAACAAGCTTTGTAACGCTAATAATTGCGCCAAGGTCTGGTGCTGATTCTGCTTCTCTTCAAGAATGGAAACTTCAATTCCACTTTTAACAGAAGCTTTAAGGTCCCATCGAACTCAGACATGAAGCCTAAGAGGTCAAAATGAACATCTTTCACTGACCCCTCTCGCCTCAGTGTCTCAAGGTCAACATTTGTTCCAACAAAAGAGTTCCTGAAGCCAACACTGACAAGTCTGAGAAATAACAACCTCCTCTTTCACCACAGAAGGAACGTGGCAAAAATTCCTCACACTTACTACCTAATTCTCATATCCTCCTGTCTCCTGGTTTTGTACACAATGTCTGCAACTCAACATCCCAGCAGCTTAGTCTGTCACACAGAGGACAACACAATGAAACCTGTGAAATCATTCTAGAAGTTCCCTTAATCCTCTTGCGCATCAGAAAATTTGCTTGCTTCTCCACAAAACCTCAAAGCAGACCTACCTGGGCTGATTGATCAGTGATGTCCATCACGCTGCCCTCTGATAGCCGGGACCGGTGCTGTGCCCTAGCGCAGCGCAGCTGCTCCTCCGCATTAACTTCTGCTTCAGGGGCCTCCGGTTGAGCCACCTCCACCTCCATCGGGGTACAGTGCCCATTCCCGTGCTCTGGCTTTTCTTTGCTCTCCTTGCTGCCTGGCGTCCTTGTGATGACCCCAAACTTCCTGGTCCTCTTCCCATTCTGAGCTGTTCTGTCAGCAGGTTCAGGGCTGGGCTTGGCTTTGGGGTCACAGCTGTTGCTGTTGTTGCCGTTGGAGGGAGGAAGAGGGGCTTTGCGCTTGATGCGGCGCAACATGATCAGGTAGACAAAGCCTCCATTCCAGCACTGCTCGGCCAGGTAACTGCAAGGAAGAGGTGCATGTGTTAGCAATGGCTCACCCCACATCCCGCCTGCACGACTTTCTGGGCAGCACAGCTGCATTCAGAATGAGGACACACTGGGATACCTCCAAGCATCTGCAGAAGCTCCTTTTTCCTTTGGTATTAGAAATTTGCACTGACAAGCAGAGATCTCAGTGCTGCCTCCCAGCAGCCCTATCAGACGCTCAGGCAGCAGTAACAGAACAACTGGTAATGCTACCAAATGGTAATGCTACCCAGCACCCTGACCTGCAGACCAATGGCACAGCAACACAAAATGGCAAGAGCAAGCAAAGCAAAGCAAAAAAGTAGTTCCAGTGGGGGGGATTAATATAAATAAATAAATTCTGAAAAGTTAAAAATAGTCTGTTTAGCCTTGAGAAAAGAAGACTGAGAGAGGACCTGCTCCACGCCTATAAATATCCAAGGTGTTGGGAGCAGAGTGGCAAGGCCAGATTCTTTTCAGCAGTGTGTGGAGACAGAACAAGGGGGAATGGCCAGAAATGCAGCACAGGAAGTTCCACACAAATGTGCGCAAGAACTTCTTTACAGTGAGGCACTGGAACAGGCTGCCCAGGGAGGTGGTGGAGTCTCCTTCTCTGGAGATGTTCCAGACCTGCCTGGATGCCGATCTGTGCGACCTGCTGTAGGGAACCTGCTTTGGCAGGGGGGTTGGACTTGATCTCTGGAGGTCCCTTCCAACCCCTACAATTCTGTGATTTGCATCTGAAATGAGTCTCCTCAGAGAAACTCATCTTCTGCCCAGGCATACCAACGTTCTTTCAGGGCCCCAGGGGAACAAATCAGCCACAGGACTAAGCATATGCTCAACCAACCACCTCAGTACAGCAAAGCATGGCACTACAATGCACCCTGGCTCCCATGAATGGGAATAAGTTTCCTTTATAGCAGGCACACTCCAAACAAAGCAGGAGCTAAGTCACTGCAGTTGTGCATGGAGCAGCCACCAGGCCCCCATACCACACCATCACCTTCCTTCCAAAGGCTTTGAACGTGCCTTGCAGAAAACGACATTTCTGCTTCAAATACTCAGTGACCTTAAATAAACTGCACCCATCAATGCAAGAGGGGAATCCAACTTCATGCCTCTTTTGGGAAAGCATGTACCTCAATCCAAATTCTTGAAATATTTGGGTTTTCAGCCAAGGGTGTGACCAACGAGGAGTACAAACAAGCTGGAATGTGTATTTAACAGGTTTGTATGTGCCCTTTCACATTAATTTAGACCAAAAAACTCCACTGTCTTTCTCACTAGCAAAAGTGACAAGAATTTCCCAGAGCACCAAATAACCCTCTGGTGCAGCTGCAATAAATTTTCCACTAACACAGAGCAGTTGGTGAGCCTACAGCTATCAGAGGAGATGAGAAAATAGGTGTGGAGTTAAACCATGAGAGGTCCTAAGAGAAAATAACACAGCACTTGTGTCTGAGAGAGCAGGAGGAACTCGGGAGTATTCCACCCTTTTTTTCCCTGCCTGATGCTTGTGGGGGAATTTTACCCTTCCCTTTCTTAAAAGTTGTTTGGCCTTAAACACAACCCTTCAAAGCTATTCCTGCATAGAGGTGACTTACAGCAAAACAGGAAAAGCAGCTCTGATAACCCCTGAAGCAAACTTCTTTGCAGATGGGTGAAGAAAGCTCTCTCCATTACTCAAAGCAATCTGGACCAGCCTGGCAGTGGCTGAAAGCAACACACAACGGGTATGTTTTTGCCCACAGACATTAGCTGGTAGTTTCAGTCCACCCCTTCCTAAAGCTGAGATGTCCCCCAGACAACAGCACCAGTCAGACTGCCTGTGTTTCACTAGGAAGTCTGATGCCCAAATGAATACAGCCACATAAGTACAGCCCTGGAGCAATTGAGCTGAGGGACAAACAGGTTTCCCAAATGTATACAGACTGAACTCTCCACAAAGGCAAGCCTCTTGAAAGAAAGGAAAGGTAAGGGAACATCTATACATATCCAAATATCTTAAACCCATCTTTTTTCAAACCATCCCCAAACAGCACTGCGGCTGCAGCAGCCCAGCTGTCTGGATGGCTGTGAAGTGACATGGGCCCAGTGAGGCAGCTGGGGCAGGCAGGACCTGCTGGCTTTGCCTAAAAGATTCCACAACTAAGATGGAAGTAGTTTGGATTATCAAGTTAAAAGAAAAATGCTTTTAATCAACAGAAGAGGGGCCGTTTTGTTCCAGAAACAATACGGGCTGCCTGTTTTTCACATTTATCTTTCAACTCAAATTTCAAGGCAGCCAGTAAAGTTGATTAAAATTCATGACTTTTGCTTGCAGCAATACCACTGCACTCTGATCCATCACACATAAGCCTGATAGCGCTGTTGCTGGCACACAGAAGAGCTGCTCTCCCAGTAGCCCCGTGCCTCACATGGGTGCTGCCATGCCTGCTTGGAGCAGAGCCCGTTCTGCCAGACCTGTTCTCCTGCAGGTGCACCAACGCGGGAGATTTAAAACACTGATCACTATCTCCAAACTAATTGCAGCTGTAGTTTTGAGTGCCAGTAACCAAGTGCAAGCAGTAAGCAACTGCCTGATTTTGAAACCCAGCAGAGGGGGAACTTAGTGCATATCCCAAATAAAGTCATTTGATGAAGAAGAAAATAGTTTACTGCTTCACCTCCTCTTGTAACACGTTCACTCTGCTCGTAACATGCAAAGTTACAGAAAGAAGTTACAGAACAAACAAAGTTTGTTCTTCTCTATCTACTGTCCACAGAAACTCATGCCTGAACTCAGAGCAGTAATGATGCAGCAGCTGTGCTGAAGTCAGAGGGGCCACACTGATTTACTCCATATGGCAGGATGATCCAGGCATGCTACCTGTAGTAACTCACTGTTTTATGTCTTCTTGAGTGCTTCTCAGCAGTTCAAAGCACACATTCCCATGAAGAAAAAGGAACGCTTTCTCTGGGGCAGGAATCAATTACCTTTGAGTGGCAGTGAGGGACCATGCACACCAGACGATCTCCGGTATTTCGGGACAGGGTATGTCCAGCTTCCACAAGGACGGGTACCAGTGATGCAATAAGTGGCATCATTACCCCAGAGCTTGTTTCAAATCGAAAATCAGGCATCCTGCGTTGGAAAAGCAGCATGGTGTAACACCATGCTCACATTACAAGATAGGCATCTAATACATGGAGTATTTGCGGTCATTGTCAGTATCACCCTAGATCTGTAGGCAGGGCTGCTAACCAGGGAGCCTAAGCCACATTTAAGCTCTGCTAAGCATGTGCTGCCTACTTAGCTGGCTTCCTTTTCCATTGTCGTTTCTTTCCCTATTTAAGAAAGAAGCCAGAAAACCCCATGAAAGCACAGCAGGCCTTCAGCACAGGACAAAAGACAGGAAAGAATGTATTAAAAGACTGAGAACCTGCAGATTTTTAATTACTTTCAATCAGTCCAGGAGCATCCAGGTGCCAGAGGGAAATAAAGAAATGGATTCAATAAAACATATCTATACAGCCTCTATACTGCAAAAAACCACCAGAGCTGTACAGGACCCCAGAATTCACTTCTCAGGGATTTAATGTGTGCTAAGCAGACATGTCTTTTTTTAGGTTCAGTCCCAGCAGAGCATCCACAGAGATTTTAGCCATCATTGCACCGAAGGGATTTTTTGGCTGGGCAGGATCAGAGTCTGTGTGCATCCGCAGCTCTCAGCACACAGCATCAGCTGCTGCCTGCAAGTTTTCAGCTACTTCAAACACGAGCTCAGATGAAAAAGGCACAAGAAGCAAAAATCTCCCAAATGCAGCTTTGATTGACCTAATTTAATGAAAACCGAGACTGTAAATCACAATAGGTTTTTAACTTCCTCTATCCTGCGCTGGTTGGCAAGAAGCCCTGCATGGCATGCACCAGCTAAAAACCTTGGGCAGCCACTCTTAGAGTCTGCAGCTGAAAGCAAGAGATTTCACTAACTGGTAATGCATCATTTGCAGAACAGTTTACCAACAAAACACTCACCCATGCTTCCTGGTTTTGCCCGGCTTTGTAAGGTAGTGCCAAGAATCCTGTCTCCCTGCATACAAGGGGCTGCTCCCATCCTATGGAACTCAACCCAAATCTCTGCCTTACACCTGAAAGAAATCTCAAGTCCCATGCAATAACTCAGAGCCCAGGGAGGCAACGCCATAGCTCTGCAATGGGAGGCAAGGAGAGGCTGCACACGCTCTGCAGTAACAAGTGGCAAAAAAACTCTGTTCTGGGAGAATCATGGAACAGGCTGAGTACATTTCTGGAAGAATATATATATATATATATATATATATATATATATATACACACACACACACACATACACACATATATACATCATTTTTTTATTTTTTTATTATTTTAAATAATAATAATAATAATAATAATAATTATTATTATTATATATGCATATATAAAGGTAAACCTCGGGACATCCTAGTCCCAGTGGAACAGGAAAACACCAAAGACCACAAAACCAACCCAGCCATGTGGGTGGTAGACCCTGGAGGGACAGCAAGCATCGAACCTCGATACTTCCACTGTAGTGTCATCTCCCCAAGCAAGGGCTAAGATATCACCAAAGAGTCAGTTTGGAAACATTTCCCGCTGACATGCTCAGAAGGAATGGCCGCTTTTGCTGCTTTCATCCTGCTCTGGCTCCAGCTCTGCTAAAACCTCAGCCTGAATAAAAGACTGCCCTTAAGCAGCAGGAAGATTTGTTCTTCTCTGCAGGAGAGAAACCATGGAAATCTTAATAATCTTTAAAACCAGGGAAAAATCACTTTGCACTTTAAACAGCACAGTAAAATTCCCTCTGGCAAAGCTCAACCACAGGTTAAAAAATGCAGCTAGTGGCTGCTATCAGGGGACACTCCCCTCTTCTCTTCCATCTGAGCTACTGAGAGACAGACACATCCTTTGGAGGATCTTTTGAGTTACGTAGTCATATCCCACTTCTGCCC